CCCGCTGCGCCACCAGGGAGGGCCAGTGCTGTGTTTTTTTACTGACTCAATCACTCTGACCTGAGTCACAGCTCTAAAAATACATTGTGACCCTCCTCTTTTTCTATCTTTTACTTGTTATTCAAAGGGAGTAGAATTGTCTTTATTCTGTGAAGGTAAATTTATAGTGAAGACAAAACCATGTTGGCTTGAGTATAATTCAGAGTAAGGAAATAGTGTAACTTCCTTGTTTGTTGACTTTCTTTATGTATTTCTGTTAAATCAAAAGTGTCACAGTTCAGTTCCACAGGGATGAGAAAATACAGAAATTACCTAGCACTTGCAAACAAGCAGGCTTCTGGATAAAAAGTAGTTTCTTTTGACTAGAGGAGTCCCTCAAGTGGTAAGAATTGTGTAGTGGGGCCTTTTCAAAAGTTAAATATAGACACATTTTAAAGTATCTTAAGAAAAAAACATTAAGCGAAATAGATATATTACCTTAAAAGTAGACACGTTATCTCCAACAGCTTCTATTACTCCAGCCACATCTGAACCAGGTATATAGGGTAAGAGTGGTTTTCTACTGTAAGTCCCAGAGCGAATATATGTCTCCACTGGGTTTACACCACATGCATGGACTTTGATTAGAACCTGCAACGATAAATATATTTTATTTTATACAAAACATTGAGGTACTCATTCAGCATTATGTGAATACTCTACTGTTTATGGAAGCTAAACAATGAGAGGCTGAAATCTTGCCTTCAATGAATGTACATTCTAGTTTTGCAAACCAAGAAATAAATTATAAGAAAAATAGAATGACTTATGTGCTATGTTACAAACATTCTGGAAACTAGTGGTAGAAATACTGTAGGAGATGTATGGCACAGATCACTATGAACTCATAAAAAGCTATTTCTTCCCTCTCCTGGGTACAGAAGCAGAATATTATTTCCCGACTTCCATCACAGTTAGGAGTAGCTAATGACTGAGTTATGGTCAGTGGGGTGTTAGCAAAAGTAGTGAGTCAATCATCTTCAGGCCTAACCCATAAAAACTTTTCAAGGAAATTACCTCAGAAGACAAGAATTGAAGGAGGTAGAGCCTCCTTCAGGTGGAAGCCTGGGTCCTTGAATCTCTGTTGGAAGAGGGCTACCCGTGAATGTTTTTCAATTTTGGAATTTAGTGACTGTGAAATAATTTTCTTTCGCTGAACCACTGAGATTTTAAGGTTCTTCTAGTGCTGATAGTATCTTAAACTTAATTAATACAGAATGTTTACCTCTGCTTTTAGAGTAAGAGGAAGCCTTACAAAGGAAGTAGCATTTGAATGAGGCCTTACAGAATGAGAGGGAATACTTTCAGAATGGGAGAAAATGAGTATTTCAGGTCAAAGAATTAGTACGTATAAAGACAGAAAGAATGAATAGGCCTCATGGGGAAATCAGATAAGGCTTGATGCTGTTACAGCACAGTCTATTGAGGAGTGTTAAAGAAATCTGTAGAAATAGGTTATGACCAAATATTAAAAGTTCTCATAAGCCTTGCTAAGAATAACAGACTTGGGAGCCATGGAAGGTATGGTAATATAAATACTTTTTATTGAAAACATATATTGCTACATTCATTAGAAATGATTAAACCCTACATTTAAATTTTCTTAAATCATATGTGAAAAAAGAGTGTATATAGAAGGAAACTATTTTCTCTCTATGAACAAAATAAAAATGATGAAAGCTTGTAATGGAATAACTTGTTTAAAACTACCTGTAATTTCAGAAAAATCCAATTATTGCAATACATAGATGATACTCAATTTCAAAACTTACAACTAGAAGTTATTCCTTTTCATCTGTCTATGGTATGGCACTAGTTATTAGAATTATCTTTGTCAGAGCTCATGCATAGAAACAGTGAAGAACTTGTCTAATTCAGTATCTTTACAAATCATTGTAAATGTGCTTCTTTTGAACATTAATTTGATATTCCAGAGGCCGAGTACAATTTTTTAAGTTAGTGTTTCTACCTGATTGTCTTTTGGAAATGGTACTGCAACATCGGACTGTAGTTTCAGGACTTCTGGTCCACCAAATTCTAAAACTCTAATGGCTCTCATCAATTTCTGTCCAGTCGCCATGGTGATCTAGATACTAAGAGAAAAAGAGAATGTACTGTCATATTGTATCTAGGCTATCAGTGTTTTTCACCCCCTGGAAGGGGCAGATCAAACACTTTTTCAAACAACAATTTAAATCATGGGCTTACCACTGATCTCATTTCATGTTAAAGCACCTTTCATCTTACAAATCCCTCAGCTACAAAGCAGAATACTTGATATTACTTCCTGTAGGGATTCAGTGCCCTCAACAAGGGACCAATCATGCAAACAAAAACATCTGGACAGGTACAGCATAATACAAAGTTAGAAATTTTTGAAAACAAAGTTTTGTTAACATTAGATAAATAGACCTTTCATTGGATTATGAAGTACTTAAATACATATAATGAATACAATAAACACAATTACCTGTCACCAGAATTTTTACACATCTTAATATTTTAAAAGCCTAAAATATTACAGATCTAGCTGAAGGCTCCTGTACTCATTTCCAAACCCAGTTCTTGCCCACACTCTTAAGAGGTAGTGATTATCATAAATTCCGAGTTCACCATTCCCATCAACCGTGTTATAGCACCACTACGTCTATAGGCATTTGTAAATAGTACATGCTAATTTGGGCATGTCTGCAAATTTTATTTAGATTGGATCATATTTTATTTAATCCTGCATCTTGCATTTGCCTCCCAGCAAGTATTTGAGATTTATCAATGTTGAAACATTGACTTCATGAAGTTCATTAATTTTAATAAAAGAGGACAAATGAAAAACACTTTGTATATAATCTTTTATACACTACAAGGGTAATATACGGCTGTCCTATCACTATGAATTTTGAAATGGAAACAAACTCAAATGTAAAATAAACTGTAAGATAAAACAGAGGGACATTTATATACATCTATAATATATATTATTAATGTATA